ACATGGACACGAAACCCTAACCGATTATACTAATTCAGAACCGATTCAGTTCGGATAATACGGGTTTTGGTTCGGTTATTAACCCGAAAGGACCAAAATAATATGCACACTATGCTTTTGAACTGAAATAACCCGAATGACCTGAATAAGCCGAAAAAACCGGATAGTTTGGTACTCTTTTGAACCGAATGACCTGAATAACCCAAATAAACCGAAAAACCCAAATAGTTTGGTACTCTTATGAACCGAAATGAACCGAATAACCCAAATAAACCGAAAACATGGTCATAAAACTACAAGGAAACACGATATCAATATCAAGAAAAAAATATATACTATTAAACTTTTTCGGTCTGGGTTTCAAGAACCGAATTATGTTTTATTTGGGTAAACCGACCCCGAATTACCAGGAACCCGAATTGGGCTAAAATACATACCTGAGAACTGGCCCGAATAACTTATTCGATCCTACTTTAGGTCGGGTCGATTAGAGTTTCGGTTTTGGTTCGTGTATTCGGTCCAAATGCACATCCATATCATGAACAAAGTTGGTGGTAGGAAATACATGTCCAACTTTTAGTGAGTTAACTTAAATTACAACCTTCCTGGTCGAAGCCTCGTTGATGGAAGAAGCCTCGTCGATGGAAGAGTTAGTAGTGAGAGTCTCAACACCGTCAATGGGGCATATGCAAAAGTGACAAAAGATATATTTAAGTTTCTTATTGATGTAATCACTGGCGGAATTACTTGGTTGGTAGGGGTAGCACGTGCTACCCCTCAATTAATCCGTAGAAATGTAAAAAAAAAATTATATACATAAATGTAATACTCTTAGATACAACCTTAACGTCCAATTACATCCAATTATATTTAAAGCAAAGTCCAATAGCCCACTAATTGGTAAACATGGCCCATTTAAATGTGAATGTTTTATGTAATTATTTATGTACAATTTAACTTACGACATCAAGGAAAAAAAATTAAATTGTTCTCAATTCTCATCATCTCCTACCCCGTTGCTTGACCACAACTTCTTAGTTTCAATTTGGCTTTCTTCTCCCACAGTCACACTTGCGCATTCAAGGACTCATGAAACAAGTAATATTTAATTTTTCTATCTTTTATATTTTATAATTTTGCTTAATTTAGTTGTCAATTTGAAAACCTAATTAGTCAATTAGTTGTTCACTTGTGTTAGGTTTATATTTTCAATTATGAATTTTAAATATTTAATTGTGTTTATAGGGTTTGATTGGAAATTTTTTTAAAAGGGCATTGGATGTTGGTAGTAGTGATGAAAGTGGTGGAGGGAAAAGACGTCAACTTCAACCTCAACCACAACCCCAACCACCAAGTTTTGATATTAATAATCTTCCTTCGGACCCTGCGGATAGACCAAGAATTACATCCTATCATCCAAATCAAAGGGATGAAATAAGGAGAATATATTGGATTAAAGGACCTTCTCAACCAAAAGGTCATGATTTTCCATCAATAAAAATTGGTGATAAGAATAGACGTTTTGTAAAGGAATGGTTTGATGAATTTAATTGGTTAGAGTATAGCACAAAAGAAAACAAAGCTTATTGTTTATGTTGTTACTTGTTTGGAGACATTGTGGGGAAACAAGGGGGAGAGATGTATTTGTGACGAGAGGCTTTGACACTTGGAGTAAAAAGAAATCATTGAAAGATCATGAGGGTAAAGTTGATAGTCATCACAACAAAGCAAAACAAAAGTGTGAAAATCTAGTAAAGAAAAACCAATCTATTAGTGAAGCTTTCCATAAGCAAACCGAATTTGAAGCGAGTAACTATCAAATTCGATTACGTGCTATAATTGATACTTGTAGATTTTTATTGAAAAATACGTTACCATTTCGTGGTCATGATGAGTCAGATGGCTCTCTTTCTAAGGGTCTTTTCATTGAACAATTATCATTCCTTCGGGACCATAATGAAAGCATTTATAACGTTACTTTACAAAATGCTTCAAAAAATGAAAAATTGACGTCTCCGAAGATTCAAAAAGAAATTGTTCAATGCTTTTCAAAAGAGATAATAAAGTCCATTTGTGAAGAAATTGGTAAGGATGTGTTTGCTATATTAGTAGACGAGTCTGATGATGTATCAAAAAAGGAACAAATGGCTATGGTTTTGCGATATGTTAATATCCTTGGAATTGTGAAGGAAAGATTTGTTGGAGTTGTGCACGTGAAGGATACATCTTCTTTAACTCTAAAAGAAGCCATTGATTCAGTATTTACCAACAATAACTTGAGTATATCTCAGGCGCGAAATCATGAATTCCTTTATTAGTATTTGAATTTTATCTATTTAATTTCTTATTTATATTATATATAATTTTTTTTTGAAATAGGTAAGAGGGCAAGGATATGATGGAGCAAGTAATATGCGGGGTGCATTTAACGGTTTGAAAACATTGATATTGAAAGATAACCCTTCGGCATATTATGTACATTGTTTTGCACACCAACTTCAGTTAGTGGTTGTGGCTGTAGCAAAGAACCATGATGGTGCTGAAGATTTCTTTGAGCAATTAGCTTTGGTGGTTAATGTGGTGTGTGCTTCTTGTAAAAGAAAAGATATCATACGGGAGAGTCACAAGGAAAGGGTTCAAAAAGAAATTGGTAATGGTGAAATTGACACTGGAAGAGGTTTAAATCAAGAGATTTCTCTTGTTCGAGCTGGAGATACAAGATGAAATTCACATTATAAAACAATAACAAGTTTGAAGAATCTGTTTCCGGAGGTAGTCAATGTTCTTAATTATGTTGAAGAGGAGGGATCTAGTTTACATAACCAAAATCAAGCGTACGGTATTTTGTCATATTTCAAGACGCTTGATTTTGTGTTTTATTTACACTTGATGTTGGAGATTTTTGGTCTCACAGATACATTGTCAAGACATCTTCAAACAAAGGATCAAGATATTTTGGAAGCGGCTTCTTTGGTGAAAGTGACAATGAAAATGCTAAAAGCTTTAAGAAATAATGGATTTCCTTCAATATTGGAGAAGGTATTTTCTTTTTGTCAGAAACATAAAATTAAAATTGTGGAAATGTCTGAATGTTATGTTACTCCAAGAAACCGTAGGACGAAGATTACTAATCAACATCACTTTGAAGTTGATATTTTCAACACGGTTTTGGATATGCAAATTCAAGAGTTTGGGAACCGTTTAAGTGAAGTGAGCACCGATTTGCTAGAATACATGTCGGCTTTGAGTCCTTCTAATTCATTTTCTATGTTTGACATATCAAAGTTGGTGAAGCTAAGTGAGTTGTACAAAACGGATTTTTACTGCTTTGGAAAGGGTGTATCTTGATGGTCAACTTGAAACCTATTATCACTCTTTGATTGATGATGAGAGATTTGCTAATTTGAAGGGCATTGCGGACCTTTTTCGTTTGATGGTGGATACTGGAAAACATCGTTCTTTTCCTTTGGTTTATAGGTTATTAAAGTTGACTTTGGTTTTGCCCGTCGCAACTGCAACCGTTGAAAGATGTTTTTCCGCAATGAAGCTCTTGAAAACCTACTTGCGTAATAAAATAGGTGATGATTTTATGAATGATGCTTTGATTTGTAGTGTAGAAAAAGAAGCACTTGTGGATGTTAAGATTGAACAAGTGATGGAGCGCTTTCAAAAAAAATGGGTAAGCGAAGAGGTCAACTTTGAAATGTAAGACTTTTGCGGTAGTTTGTTATTTCTATTAAAATTGTAATTTTTAAATAGTTATCTTATTATCTTTTATCGGGAATTTTATTTTGTGCTACCCCTTGCAAATATTTCTGGTTCCGCCACTGGATGTAATGATCGAACACACCTCGCCCATATACTTATCTTCAATCATTTTTAATTGCGAAGAATAACTCTACGTTTGAGTAGTAAACTACATATATCCTATTATAGAATGAAGAGGTGTGAAACTTAAAAACCACCACCACACAATAAATGCGAAGGGAAATGATACAAATGGACTTAACGCAAAGACATAAAAAGACTAGATGTGGGAAGAGAGAATAAAATATACAAGGTTTTGTTTGTGTTATTAGTCAAGCGGTCAAGTCTAAAGTATGTTGACAATTGTCTCATCAACACACTTGAGCTAGGAGACTTATTGGTGGACTCCACAATTAGACACTACACTATTACAATTTTCATAATGTCGGTCCCTCAAAAAAAACCATCGCATCCCACCGGGCACCCGTGTCACAAGTGTTAAGACCAGACACAACACTAATAGGTAAAATGTTTCATTGGGGTATAATTGACATCTTCTCAAAGTTTTCTACGTATAACACATGTGTGGGCAATTTTTTGTTTCTCCGTTTAGGTAAAATTTTTCTTTTTGGAAAATTAAATAATTGTTTTGAAATTAAATTCAAATAAATAAAAAAAAATTGAAATAAATAACTATTAGTAAGTTTAATGTGTCCAATATTGTTAGAAGATTAAATTCAAGGTTAAAAAAGAAATTTTAAGTTAGAGAGTATTTGACCTCGTCTTGATATAGTTAGAACCACAATTGTTAAGAAACTTTTTTTTTTCTAGATTCCCTGTAAGATGACTAACTTGTTGGGTTGATAAGAGTTAGTTATGCATGCTAGTAGGAATCTTAAAACTTGTGGACCAAAGTGTCATTAAGGAAAAGATTTGAACTCAATGCCTCAACTCTTCCCATTTCCCTCTTATTAATGGTTTTTGGAAATATGGGAGATCTTGATGGTGACTTAATTTGCATATAGGAGGAGAATTAAAAGTGAATTTGAGGTGGTAGTGATGAATAGAAGCTAGTTTCACTTCCTTTATGCACTAGAAGATATACTATTCTTTTCTTCTTATAGGTTTGATACAGGTTTAGAGATTTCCCCAAATATAAATTTTTGTTATATATATAAGAACATGATTGAGTCCATCACTGTAACATCCCAAAAATATAGTCTAAAAATTTCGTTTTAATTTATTAATAAAACCATAGTCATCAAACATCATATAAAAATCATAAACAGTGTATCTCAAGATATCGTAACAATTGTCAAAATATCAGAGTATAAACATCCCAGGCTGAACAGATGGTGTGTGCACTGCAATTTTCCCGAGCTCCTCTTTTGAAAACTGAGTACCTGAAACCAAAACTGAAACTGTAAGCACGAAGCTTAGTGAGCTCCCCCAAACTACCACATACCATACAATAACACATAAAGCAAATACTGGGCCTTGCCCACTGCATCGGACCGAAGTCTGGAATAACTTGGGCCTCGCCCACTGCATCGGACTAAAGTCCGGAATAACTTGGGTCTCGCCCACTGCATCGGACCGAAGTCCGGAACTAACTTGGGCCTCCCCCACTGCATCGGACCGAAGTCCGGAACTAACTTGGGCCTCGCCCACTGCATCGGACCGAAGTCCGGAACTAACTAGGGTCTTGCCCACTGCATCGGACCGAAGTCCAGAACTAACTTGGGCCTCGCCCACTGCATCCGACCGAAGTCCGGAACTAACTAGGGCCTTGCCCACTGCATCGGACCGAAGTCCGGAACTAACTAAACATAGCATAACATAATCATAACATATAACAATAACACATATACTGCATACTGCATCGGACCGCAGTCCGGAACACATAACACATAGACATGCCTGAATCACAAAGACATCAAGCATACTGAACTACTTCTCGGGACCACCCCGGCATCGGACCGCAGTCCGGAACTACTGCTATCTAAACGGGCCGGCATTGTGGCCGTAGACCCGTTCCTACTGGAAGGAAACTCACCTCACACTGCTGAAGTCCTGCTGACAAAACCATAGCTGTTGGATGACAGACTCCCGATCTGTCAATATCAAAATAACACCCAGTTAATAATTGGGTTCCACTACATAACTATAAATACATACTTTGGATAATTACTACATTACCCCTAGCTTGGCTTACCCAAGCCCAAGGCCCAATCCATAGGCCCAAAGTCAACTAGGGATCAAAGCCCAACATATGGCCCAACTTTCCAAATTGGGCCCAAACCTCTATATGGACTTCTCTTAAGGCCCAATTGTTCAGTCCAGTCCAACATGTCTCATTCTAAGGGCCCAATATCATACAACCCTCTAGGCCCAAACTATGTCCCATTTATGGCCTAATTTTCCAAATTGCGCCCAATCCTTCATATGGGCCTTACCCTAAAGCCCAACTAATTACTCTAGTCCATTTGATTATTCTTGGATGGCCCATTAATAAACCAATTACCAAAACCCAATCGAAAGGGCCAACTCAAGGCCCAAGTGAAACTAGGGTTTCATATAAAATGACGATTAGGGTTAAGTGTTTCTTACTTAACCCATTAAGGACTTAATCCATTAAGTCCTTTACTCTACTAGGTCAATGATATGGAGAAATTGGGCTTAATATACAATCCAATCTCAATAGCCCAAAAAGTGAGTCCAAACAAGTCCAAGGCCCAAATACTCACAATTAGGGTTTTCCACCCAAACATGGCCCAATAGGCCCAAAATTAATCTTTAAGCCCATTAGGGTTTTGGCTAGGTCAATTAGGGTTTGCTTGTGGGGTACCACCCACTACCACCTCGGGTAGTGGTGGTCCACGGCGGCTCACGGCGGCGGCCACCACCTTACGGTGGTGGTTATTATTATTTTTATTATTAATCAAAGTTAATTACAATTACAATGCTTAATCCAAAAATAAACACACACACACTAACTAATACACACACATACACACATAGCCACCCTAGCGGTGGCCGGCGGTGGTACATGGCGGCAGCCACCACCTCACGGTGGTGGTGGCTTCTTTTCAGATTCCGGCCAAGGGTTTCTCACCCACACACCACATCACGCACACACACCAAGATGAACACCCACCGAGCAGTTCTTCATTAATCATGAAGGGGGTTTGATGGCGGCATTTGACGGCAGTAGCCACCATGGTCGGCTGCCATGGTGGTTCCTCACGGCCCTACACGACAGAAGTCCCACCCACACGAACATGACAGCCCCTTTGGGGTGGCGACGTTGACCGGAGAAAACAGGGGCGAGCCAACAGCGACGGATGGAGCGAACAAGAAGAAAAAGAATGGAGAGAGAGAAAGCAGCGATCGATTCTTCATCGGCAGCGAGGTGGGTTGCGACACAACCCCGTCTTCATCGGCACTGAGGCTGTGGCGACGTCCGGTGGTTGACGATCTCAACAGAGGTGGCGGCGCGTCGCTTGTCGTCGTCGGCGAAGGGTAGCAGCAGCAGCGCTCGTCACGGCGGTGGTTTCCGATCTCCACGGTGATGTTGGTGCGGCGCCCGAAGTCTAGAAGGGAAGGTGGCGATCGGCGGAGGGGATATAAGGGGGGGGGTTGCGGCTGCTAAGGCTCCTAGGGTTAGGGATCCCGAAGAGTGACGGGTTTATATACCCGGTTACATCCAAACTTCCCATAATATACAATTCCAGCCCCTGCTTCTCTTATTCCTTTCAATCTAAGTCCCTATTTTACCTTTTTAACCCCATTCTCTAAATTTCTTTACAAATAAACTCTGGGATTTACCAATTAGCCCCTTGACCTCTAAAATCTTTTCAAAAGAAGTCCCATTAATTACCATTTAGTCCCTGCCTTCATAAATACTTACAAAACTAATTTTGAACTTACACTTTTAACCCTTGACTTCTATATTATGCTAATTTACTCCTCGAAACCCACACCTTGCTATATAATTATTGATTTTAGGGCTATTATACAATCATTAATTTATTTACTCATTTATTAAATAAACGGGGTGTTACAACTCTCCCCCACTTAAATTAGATTTCGTCCTCGAAATCATTCCTTACCATCTCTTACATGCCAAACTACTCTAGTAAAATGGGCACCATTCTGGGCACACCCTAGCCCTACTAGGGTAGCCATGACCAATCTTCGCAAAGCCCTAAAACCCTTAGGTGAACGAAATCCTCGCAACAAGATTACATGTACTCTATCTGAAATTTGCTATCTCTAGATGATCTGAATCTCTAACAGGCCACTCATACTGAATCATTATAGATGAACCCCGCGGTGGGTGACTAAGCATTACTCAGCAATCTGTTATGCTTATCATACATGAGGTCCTTAAATGTCATTACTGTTGGAGACCCAAAACTGTCTGAATCACTGATCTGCCTGAAAACACTGAACTGCTTGAAACACTGACTGTCTGAAACACTGAACTACCTGAACATTGAACTGCCTAAAACACTGAACTGTCTGAACACTGAACTGCCTGACACACTGAACTGCCTGAAACATTGAACTGCCTGAAACTGTATGTTGTCACATGGCTGCTTCCCAACATCTACCGAGACCTACCTGGTCTCAATTTTTCCGCCAATCATCTGAAATATCGGGTCCCAGCCCGACTGCGGAGCCAAAGGACTCCCTACTTAGTCGCCTCACACGACTTCTAAACAAAATCCTTCTCTGGAACTATTTGCTACTAATTAACTTGTCACTGTGGCTCTAACGGCCTTCTGATCTAACTGATTGGTTCCATGCGTCGAATCCTGACGTCACCAAACCCAAGGCTAAAAGTGATTGCTACATGACCATTGGTAGCCTTATGTCATAAATGACCTTAAGCAGTCCACTGCTTCCTTGCTCTCATAGCTGTAGTGGCGCTTCCACAGTCTTACCACTGGCTTAAGCAGGTCTAATCCGTCTGGGTAATTCCGAAATCCAATCCGTGGATTTCCATATCCTCACTGCTACACCCGAACTGGTGGGTACTACTGTTCTTTCCGCGTCCTAACAACGCACTCACGCTATCGACCAACCCAGTGAATGCTATGGCTACACCCGCAGACTTACAACACTATATCATTATCTGGCTGCTAGTGAATGCTACGGCTACTCCTGCATACTTACAACACTCTAGTACTATCTGGCTGCTAGTGAATGCTACGGATACACCCGCAGACTTACAACACTCTAATACTATCTGGCTGCTAGTGAATGCTACGACTACACCCGCAGACTTATAACACTCTAACACTATCTGGCTACTAGTGAATGCTACGGCTACTCCCGTAGACTTACAACACTCTAATACTATCTGGCTGCTAGTGAATGCTACGGCTACACCCGCAGACTTACAATACTTTCCATACTGGATTGAACACGATCTCCTTATTGGCAAGAACACTCAGCTGAACTCATGTCCTGACTGGAATCCCCAACCTGATTCCCTAAGGCTTGCTAGCAAACATTACGGGAACACGATCTCCTTATTGGCAAGTTTTTTACGAACTTCCATCTCACACTATCCTCAAACCATACAGCCGCTTGCTAGTGTTTCAATACTAGTCAGTTTCAAAACTGCTCAGTTTCAAAACTGCTCCTACTTCTGAATCCTTGGATGATTCTCCCCCACTTTGATTTAACTAACGCCTTACGGCACACAATACTGGAAGGATTCTCGATCCTTCTTACCATTCTATGCCCAATCTTCTGAAAACCACGTTTACCATTGCTAGTGTTTCAATACTAGTCAGTCCAAAAGATCACACCGCTTTCAAGAACCCGAATAAATCTCCGGTAATAACCCGCTAGACCTAGGAAGCTCTGAATCTCAATTGGAGACCTCAGAATCTCCCACTGCGTCACGGCCTCTATCTCGGCCGAAACGTCTAGAATACCCTTCTGATTGACAAGGTGCCCAAGAAATTTCACCTCGCACAACCAGAACTCACATTTGGAGTACCTTTCAAAAGCTCTCTCCCTCCCCAAAGTCTCTAGCACCTCCCTCAGGCGCTTCTTGTGCTGCTCCTCAGTCTTGGAATAAACCAAGATGACGTTGTACTCTCCCAATCCCGCTGATGAGTTGAAAAACTCTTAGATCGATTAGATCTTCAACAGGTTAATCAGTAAAGTAAACAAACAAAACATTGTAAACACGAGATGGAATCAAAGTAATGCTTAATGATTCAAAAGTAGTCACGCCTCAGCAGAGCTCGACAAAGAACTTCCACTGTAGAGGCGAGCTAGGGTTTGTAGTATAATTACTATGAATAATAATGAAAGCGATAATTACTAAGGATGCATGCATGCACCTTAAATACTAAACCCTAATACAATAATCACGGTTGGACAGGCGCAAACCGGATAACAAAACATGGCTAAGGACCGAGCCCAATGACACAACACCGCAGGACTCAACAATCTCCCCCTTTGTGTCAATTGAGGTGAGACTTCACTTCGGTGGAGGTTGAGTAGTTCGCTTCACAACCTTGAACAATCTTGGAATAATGGCAAGAAGAGTCTGTTTGAAAGCCATATACCACTGAAGCATTTCTGAGAATAGTTTCTTGTCAGCGTCACTATTTTGATCGCACCCATAAACAAGCTCCAGAATGTGCTCTAGACAGGCAGTGGAGAATAGATGTTTGTCAGCCAAAGCAAATAGGAATCTCTGACCTTCGGCTCTAATAAACAAGACAGTGTGAGACTATGGATCAATCTTTCCCTTCACCATCAGCTTAGTGTCGCCTGCCTTCCCAATTGGCTTGACAGTGGGTCTCTTGTGAATAGCAGCAGCAACCTCCTGATCCATCTTTGCCACTTCATGAATGTAACACACTAGCATACGCTTGATATGATCAATGATTGGCTCATAATCTTTTTCATTGGAGAGTAGAATGTTGATCAGAAGAATCCAATCGTGTGAATTTAGATTTGGCAAATCTGCAAGTGAGATTGTATGGACCGAACCATCAGATCCTCGAGTCACTTTGAACTTGACATTGATGAACTTGCCAGCTGCAGTAGGCTTCATCACCTTAACAGTTGTGATCTTTTTGTTACTCCAGGTGAGGTACTGCGGTTGAGAGAATTCATGATAATATTCCAGCAGGTCTTGATCAACCTTCGGGTCTAGAGAGGGAATTGCAATTGTAGGCTCAAAACAGTGAATATGAAAGCCTTGCGAGTGATTGGCATGTCAAATTGGGAATCTTTAGAATTCTCGACATTGAAAGAGAGAACAGGCTCTAGCCAGTGTGAACTTGGGGCTTCAATCGCCTCCTTTCGAAGCCTTTCCAACGTCCATAGAGGAAACTTCAACTTTCTCTGATTGAGTAGATTCGCCTCTCTCACCGCATACTCCTTGTTGATTGCTTCAGTAACCTTTTGCTTAATCTCCTGAGAAGAAGGCTTGGTTTTCATAATATTCCTTATAGGAACCGTATCTTCAATATCATCAGCATCATCCTCATCATCATCAGCAACTCCTTTACCCTTATCTTGCACACCCGAACCCGAAGAATCTTTCCCTTTCGGTTTGGCAACCACTTTCGGCTGTTGAGGTTTTGGAGGTTGGGATGAGATCTTTGTTTGTTCTTCCCTTGTTGCGGAGGGACAACGGACTCCGGAACACCTTCTATCCTGCTTAAAATGTCAAGAGCAGGTCGTAGCTTCTCAGCTAAATGGCGTCTGACTAAAATGGTAAGAACCGGATCGTGGGCTTCAAGAAGATGGAGAAGAATGGAGTGAACATCTCCAACAGAGCTCTTTACCACAGACCGCTCCGAACACAAATCATCAAGTTCCTTGTTCGCTTGATTGAGCTTCAAGGTCTGGGTCTTTAGTTGAGTAGTCTTCAGAGCAAGTTCATCCATTACTCTGCTTTTCAAGGCTAGATCTGGCTGAAGCTGATTGAAACGTTAATTGACCGAAGCTTGATGTTTGGCTTGTTCAGAAGAGAGGTTCTGGCGAAGCACTTCAAAAAGCTTCTTTTCTTGATGAAGAGATTGTGTAAGGGTCTGAACCGAAGCATTGATCTTGGCGGCATTTTGCGTTGCAGCACCCTGTAAAGACTCAAGAAAAATGTTTGCGTTAGAAATTAGTTTATCGACTTTTTCGGTCGCTTCCGTGCAAACTTTTGTTGAAGCATCAATGGCTGAAGTGGCTTTGGAGATTGAAGCATCATGTTCCTTAACCAATGTGGCCATCATGCTTTTAACAGCAGACTCAGAAAGAGAACCTTGAGTAGATGAGGAAGCCATAAGTTTATCTAGCTTCTCATTCAGCTCCTTAAGATGGCGTTTGGTGACAGGGGCATCTTCATCATCATCACTTTGCACCCTGTAAGGACTGTAGTAGAATGTATCAAAATCAACATTCTCCCCGCCAATGACAGTATTGGTTTCAGTGGATTGGGTAGGAGACAGAGGTTTTGAAGTAGCATGGGTGTCGGGTGCTGAAGTACGTACCCTCGTATCAGATACGTTGGTTTGCACTCCAGTGGTGGTAGTGGTTGTAGCTTCTGAAAAGATGGGAGTGGGAATGGGAATAGTGGATGAGGGTTGAGATGTAACGATAGGGATAATGGGAGGAAGGGTAATGGG